GCCTCTTGACTGAATGATGCATGTACAATCAACCAATCACAATAAATGCACTTAAGACCGTTCCCGCGTCTTAATCCCATGCATTCGAATAATTCACCCCTTCGAGAATTTCATCATGATTGCACATACAACATATATCAAACATTTATCAATGTATTCAGTTCACACATCATCATATTCAACAACAATGCACACATATCACATATGTTCCCATGCATTCATACAACAATCAAACATTCACAACTCATCAATTAATACACACATAATCATCGTTATGTTCTCATGTATTTTAACCGATTACAATTAATCATTCATATCACGACTCTAGGATTCACGCCCGAAGGCTACCCACAGCACATGTTATCATGATAGTTCACATACTCATTCATAACATAGAAGTATAAACATATGCGAATCAACCAAACAATCACCATTTGGATAACACAGCAAAGAAAATATACTGCCACATTCGCCTTCATTCGCCTGGCGAACCCTCGCAGCGAACCTTCGCCTGGCCTTCGCCTGGCGAACTCTCTCAGCGAACACTCGCTAGGCTTCGCCTGGCGAGACTTCCCAGCGAGGCCAAGTCAGTAGCTACTGACTTCATTCGCCACCATTCGCCAGCACCTTCGTTGGGCGAACCCTCGCTATCCAACTTCGCCTGGCGAACCCACCAGCGAAGTCCACTGGGACTTAAATATAATTATTCGCCAACATTCGCTAGGCTTCGCCTGGCGAAGCTTCGCCTTCGCTCGCCTGGCGAGAGCCAGCGAACCTGCGCAGAACAGAACCCTATTTTGTTCCTCCTTCACCAATCCATCATCAACCCTCTCTTACACATCCAAATCAGTATAAACAGCATCAACACATGTTACCCAACTATTCTACGGCATTATTGCTCAGTTTCAACCGATTAAATCATCAATCTACCGATTATTCCAACTTTTGCCCTAATTGGAAAGTGATGAAAACTCTACCAAAACCCCAACCCAACATACATAAAATCATACAATGATCAAATAGAAACATTTCTCACCCTTACCTCGATTAATCGGAGCTTTGATGTTGGTTCTTGATGATTTCCACTTTTCCTCTTCTTCTCTTCTCTTTCTCTCCTTTCTTCTTCTTTCCTCTTTCTTTCCAAATGTTTTCTATCTTTCTTTTCTTTTCTTTCTCTCTTATATAATTCCTTTATTTTCCTTCCTTCCAATTTCCTTCTCAATTCTCTATTAATCCCAATTAATAAAAATTAATTTTCCAACATTAATAAAATCCCACTAAATAAATTAATTACTACAATTAATTATTTAATGAAATTTGGGCTGTTACACCTCAAAAGTTGCTTTTGATTTTGTTTGTGGGAATTGAGTCAGAAGCAGTTTTGAATCGAGTCACAGGTCTGGAAATTCCAATAAACAGATGTAGGTGTCTGCGAGGATGATAGCACCAAACTAGTATATATCCTAGTACACTCTCTCCTTCTCTCCCTTTCTCTCTTTATCATTTAAAATTGCATGTTTGGGATATCTGTTAGCTTCATTGCATTCATAGTCTTGATTTGTAAAAGTTTAGGTTTGATTAAATTTGTTCTTCTAAAGGATCCTGTTAATTGATTATTGTGTGAGAATTGAAATTAAAATTGTCTTTCAAATTGGAGAATAGTTAAAGTCTTTAAGTTGAAACTTTAACTATTAATCAATTCATTGCATTTTACCTTATTACAAACCTTTGGTGTAAGTATAGTATAAATCCTCTTCCAACATCATAAAACCTTTTCAAAACGAGTTTTCACCATATCCGTTTCTGCTTGCGTAATCTAATTTTTTGAAAAGAATTAATTTTTTAATTGTCTATTCAACCCCTCTCTTAGACAAATTACTTCATATTCAACCTAACAAATACAAAGTTTGTTTTTCTGCTAAGACAATTGGTCATATATAACCCTTTTTTATTCGTGATTATATTTGTCCAATATATAGTAATGCTTTTTAAGCTTTTTGTGATTACAGGATTACGATTATTTAGTTTAATACTGCAGCTGGTAGTCAAACAAGAGAGAGCGTTGAAGAGTATTTGACAAGTATTAAAAAGCATGAGCTGTCACAGGCTGAGGTTCTGAATGTATTAAACATCAGACCAGCTGCTGAAGTTGAATTATTTCATGTAAGTATCATAACTATGTTCTTCTCATTTACTTCATGTCTGAGTAAACTGTTCGATGTTACCTTAGCGACTTAGCTCTGCATCCTATTGCCCTATAATATTTGTTATCAGTTCCCAAGAAGTGAATTAACTTGTATGTTCAATTAGCCGCTAAAGTAACTTTTAATAAGCATATCAAAAACATGAAGTCCAATCTAAATGATCATGTAATGTATGTATTCTTCAAATTTTCGTTATTAGACACGATGCTCATTTGTTTGCAGCAAATTAAGGAGCAAGCATGATTTCCATAGCATAATTTATCCCCCTTTGCATCAACTATAAATGTTCAAGTCACCATATTTATATCTAATGTAGGACTATTATCCACACTACTCACACTTATTAATATTTAACAGGATTAATTATTATATACTTATTGTGTAAAAAGTTTTACACTGTCAATTTATCATCATCATCCGTTTGTATTATTTTAGAAATTATTAAAATAAAAGTCAAACTTTTTTTTACATCCAACATTTATAATCAACTGACAATGTAAAATCTTTTTACAATGTTAGTGCATTTCAATTAAATCCTAAGTTTTAACCTAAAAAGTCTGATCAACAATACATTATATATTTCAAACTTCCGAGATATTGATAAATATAGTCAGGCAACACTTAAAAGTTAAAACTCAAAAGGGTTTCGCTTTAACTTTGACCGCTGGGGTTTACTACTGACTTTTTAAAACTTGTTCATACAATATCAGTAAATTATACAAAGCTCTTAGAGACCGTAGATGATTTCTAAAATATTATGCAAGTTGTAATTTTGTAATATGTATATGAATTGTTATTGATTTTAATGGCAGTTAAGATATATAGTTCAATGGTAAGGCGTGACACTATGCACTTGCATTGTTATCACCTGAACCGACGCGTTTCTTTGCAATAAATCCGCATGCCAATTAATATACAAGTTCATAATACAGGTGCATAAATCATTTTCAAATGGTGTTTCTGTTCATCAAATGGCTTGAATTTATCTATAAATAGAGACATTTGAGAAGTAGAATAAACACAGAAAATACATACACCTTTTTCTCTATCATCTGTATTATTTTAAATCATCTTTCACTTCATTAATACACCTTTTTCTCTATCATCTATATTATTTTAAATCATCTTTCACTTCATTAATGCATTAGTTAAGTTTAAGAAACATCATTCTTATAAAAAAATACACTAAGTGTATTTGTGCAATTCATATTAGGGAATTCAAAATATTCTGAAGGGAATTCGTTGTTAATCTCAATTGCATTCAATATACTATAATTGGTGGGGACGAATTGATGCTACAAGTTAGTGTGAAATTCACATGCTTTAAAATTTTCAAAAAATATATTTATCAATACCTTCTTTGTTTTAGTGCTGTCACATATTTCTAACAATCAAAATATCCAACAGAGACGGTCATTCTTGGGGGCTGATATGGGCTACTTCAACCTTCATATTTATACTTTTACTGTCGAGTGAGATTGGCTTATGATCATATTTTTGTTTGTAAAGTTCACTTTTGAGGTATCTCAGTTCCTGGCTGGTTGTTTTGTCTTGTAATTGCGTATGGAATCCGAGACCATCAGATTTGCGTGTCTGTCATGTTATCTACTGAATATGAAAAAGTAGATGTGCGCGAGTTAAGCCTAAATACTAGTGTGCTGTGTTGTGTTTTATAATAATTGTATTTTATGCTAAGAATCTTATATCTTTTTCTTGATCTTGATCTATATGAGTAACAATATGCATTTGAATGTCATGTTTATACCTTTGCATAATTGTTATCAGTTTGTTAACTTTTAATTATTATGCAGATCATAGAGGATTGTACGGTCCGTTTTCCAGATGAACAAATAGCTGAAATTGTAGATCCCGTAGAAAAAAACATTGCCAGCACCGTCTAACAAAGAGACATTAAAAGAAATCTCTGAGGGCGAAGAAGAAACTGAAACACAGAAACACGAAAACAGTAATGAGTTTAGTCAATATCAAATTGAAGATGGAGAACAAATGGACACAAGTTGAGATTTAATTTTAATACTTGATGACTAGCACTAGAGATCTCGTTGTTGGGTAAAAAATTGAGTTGATGAACATGATTTTTATACGAACCGAGTGTTACTTCTACAGGAAACTTAAGAATGCAAATGCTGTTGGCTTTGCTTACTCTAGATAGAAAGAAAGCTTAGAATTTCTTAATATATTCTTCCAATGATTGCTTTGTTTCTTATCCAAAAATATATTTCTACCTTATGATCTGGTGATGTTAATTTCAAATTTTCTGTTATAATGATGAAAAAAGGGGTCCATCTTTACTCGCTCCATGCTTTTAAAAAACAGTTGGACTCTAAAAAACAGGCATATTGTGGCAATTACTACATTGTGAGGGTTATGAGTTTCTCTGATACTAGGACAAAATTATATGGGAAATGGAGTCAAGGGAGGGTATGAAGCATAAAACAAATGGAGTGAAATGGAGTGGAAGGTATGAAGCAGAATGTTATAAAGAGTATAACAAGTTAAGTCCATTTTGGAGTGTGGGAGCTTCACAATGTAGAACACAAAATATTGAAGGCATATCCTAAAATGTTCCAAGATCTTGACAAAACTAATGAAAAAACAAAATTTAATTAATTGCAAAAAGAATCCAGGCAGCCCTATGAGTAATTAGGATACACGGTCAACTATGTCAACATTTACAAAAGCATATTTTTATTTACATAAAATTTTCCACCTTGTGCCAATGTGATTAACTGGTTTTTGGAGGCTAAATCTTCTATCAAAATAGATGATTAACATTCAAATGGCAGCAGGGATGAGATCCTCTTCAACATCAGTTTCCTGATCTTCTTCCAATACCATCCAGTCTGAAATTGTACCCTGAAATTATTTAGTCATATTAAGAGCATCTCCAATTATAGAATCCATTCTTAGCTTACTTTTAGTAAGTCATAAACCGGTTGTATTTATGAACCCAAAATAATTTCACTTTGATGGTAGAACTCTTAAGAAATTAAAATTGACCCCACAGTTGAACCCTTAAAATTTAAGAAAGTTTTTTATAGAACAGTTTGCACATGTGCTATCTATATGGTCTCCAATGGCACAATGGCTAAACGCCGGTTCTTGTATATAAAAACCTGCATAAAAATTTGTATTGGAGGTGTTTCTATAAACTTCAAATTAACAGATAACTACCTTTCCTTCCCGTAGAACTCTAGGAGGCAATTTGGTCATGTCGACCACAGTGGACGACTGAGCCAATCTTACACCACCATCAACAACAAAATCAAGGCCCTGAAAAACCAAAGTAATGGCTTTAAGATCTTTTGTAAAAGCTATAAAACTTGTTAGTAAAGAATATAATTAACTACCAAATTTTTTAGGTTTGGTAGAGCCAAGCATACCATGTAGATCTGTAACAATTAGTCTGAAAATCATGTACTCAATTTCAAGCATTCTTCACGTGCAAATGCAAAACTTGAATCCGTAAGGCAAAATGACATGCATATATAATGTGTCGTGGACATGACATTGCCTATTTCTAACAAGCATATAAAATGCAATTCATATTTTCCCCTTTGGTTGGAGAAGGGGCTAAAATCATTATTTCCATACTTATTTATACAGGAAAAATAATGATACAGTAGAAACAATCATACCTCTGGTCCATATGTATCAGCTATCATAACTGGATCAATCATCCATTCATCTTCGTTGAGGAACTTGATGCTAAAATAAAGATGAAAAAGTTCCAAGGTAATATTCAGGTGCAAGCATCAACTATTATGCTCCATTCTCTAATGCAACAATTATGCAAAATAAGGAGCCAATACCTAAGACCATCACAAAAATTATAGTCGTCTACATCAAAGGTTCTAAGAACTTGGATTGAACCTAACTCAACTAAAAAAGGGCTTGTAAGGTATGCTGCAGGATACATCTCTAGGCAATGTGAGACTGAATCCACCACCCGCCTTCACGCTCAACACAAATGAAGGTGTTGGAGTGCAATGAAGACAGCCAAAATGGCGCAATAAGGCGGCTAGGGGCAGACCACAATTAAGACGAAAATTCTAAAATATATATGTCACTTCATTGGTGCTACTGTGTCATCATATTTTACCATTTCAAAGCGATGTATTTTTCAGAGTGGTCTCCTCGTCCTATTATTTGCCTAACAAAAACTCGTTACTATAAAAAAACATTTTTTCCAAGCAAAAAAATTATCCAATAAATTAATAAACCTTGTGCATATTAATGGTGCAGTCATCTTCTTTAGTATTGCTTGGCAAATGGCATCATCAGGCATACGGACACCCACATTTTTTCTTGACGCATATTTGGCAGAAGTAGTCCCAAATCTTATGCACTGCTTTGGTAACGCTTTGCTAGCCATTAAGATGAAAGTGTACTGTCACTCAAACATGACTAGTGTTAGCAACAAATTGTCAATAACTAAAGAGCATAGACACTAAATTGGCAACAAAACCATAGGATTCACCAACTTAAAGACACATAGTACAAATTGTACTAAATTTAGATAGTACAACACGTTTAAACGAGAAAAAAAAAAACATTAATTAGTTTCTGATAGAATACTTACCGGACCAGGTAAGCAAAGCTTAACAGCTTTGAATAAATTTGCATGGCCTTGACCATCACCGCGTGGAAACCCAGCTGTGTACTTATCTATGTCGCGAAATGAGTGGCATAAGATGCTAAGCGGCTACAAGTAACAGTGGCACCATAATCATCAATGACTTCAACAAGTAACATTACTACATACCAAGTACCAACATACATAGAGAAAATTTTGAAGCTGTGATCAACAAAATCAAACCTAAACACAAAGTAAAGTAATTGCACATGTGCGACAAGCAACCGAACATGAAAATCGTATTGAATAGAAATCCAATTGGCAGCACAAGAACAAGTCAATAAAGACAAGCTCACTGTGTTACTCACCTTTGAAACGTCTATATTCTTGATTCTGTAACACAATAAAAATATACCCTTGGTTAATATAGTGATTTAGAGATAAAACAATCAAACATGGTTGAGATTAACAAAGTTACACTATACCTACCTTCGGAGTCGTTCAATGGCTGAGTGGTTTGTTAGGTCACATGCTATTGCATATCTATGTATAGACAAAAGAAAGAAGAAAAAATGAATGACTTGCATGAAAACGAATCCTCTACTACTCATAGTCTCTAAATAAACCGAAATTACAAAAAACTTGCATGAAAACGAATCCTCTACTACTCATAGTCTCTAAATAAACCGAAATAACAAAAAACACATCCTCTAATGTGTCTCTAGTTAGTCAATTTAATCATTGAATGCATTTTATGTTTGCTTCTTTAGTCTTTGAACATGTCTATCAAAAAATACACTCAATGATTTATTTTCTTTTATACATCCAGAAACTATAGAAACAATCATGGTTTAAAATTGTGGTACGCAACCGCAATTGCGACACAATATTGTTGATGCGATAGTCTCTGCAACCGCAATTGCGACACAATATTGTTGATGCGATAGTCTCCGCAACCGCATCGGACCACAATTGCAGTGTGATTTGAAATCACGCATCCTTCTACATTAGGAACCGCATCGCCCAAGTTTCTTAGTATTTTCCTTAAAACTCAGAATTTAGAATCCAAAACTCAATTTACATATAAAAATCTTAATATTAAGTGTTTTTCAAAGGTGTATTTCAAACTCTTCTCAATCAAAATTCATGCTGCAACGGCTAAAATGCACGTTGCGACAACCGCAATGACTGCAACCGCAACTTAAAACCATGGTAACAATGTGCAACATTTTTGTAGATCAAAATGAGCGTTTACTGAGATAATATATCATATATGATATCGTTCTAATTAAAATTAAAGCGTAGAAGGAAGCAATCAAGCAAATAAGCAGGACTGACAGTGTATCAGTAGGGATGACACCAACAGCACCTTGTCTCAAGAGATTAACAACTGGTTCCAATTTCCATGTATCAGAGCCAGATGTATCAGCTTCAATGTAAACCAAACCTCCTTCCTGTTATCTTATTGAATTCAATTCAAAGTTCAAAACCTAACTAACTAACTGTAAACTGTAGAGAGAAGATAGAAAGAGTAGTGTGACCTTGTTGAAACGAGTTGTATCTGTGTATTTGAGACGTTTGGGGCTTCGTTTAATAGCCATGGATACTACTACTCCTCGGGAATTGTGGCCGTGGCTTCGCGAGAGAGCGTCGAAACGCAGTGGTTTGTGGCCACAAACACGAACCATTTCCATTTCTAACCGTGCTTTGCAGATTGTTGTATTACTGGATCAAATTATGAAGAACTAAATTACAAATTTGCATTCTAAATATATGGATAACGCATTTTGTTTGTAAAGTTGAGTGACTATATGTGGCACTCCACTTGGATAACAAGATCATTTTTTTGTTTCTCCTATTTTCATTTTTTTTAATTAAATTTTGTTTCCTCCATTATAAAATTAGAATTTTAGTTCTTTCATTTTATTTTTTTAATTAGACTAATTTTTAATAACGTGACACTAATCATGTTTATATATCATTGTCAAATATACCAAATTTTATTACATGACATTTTTTTTAATATTAATAATTATGTTATTTATTAAAAAAATATTATTATTAAAATTCCTAAAAAAAATTATTTAAATAAAAATGATTCGTGTGTGTATATATATTAGTCATTAAATTCAATTCAATTCAAGGGTTATGATTTGGAGTAAGTTTAAAAAACTTACTCTTCTCCTCTCCTCTTCCATTCCTAAACTTCATTTTTCTTTCATTTCATCATGTTTTTCGATTCCATGGATGATTCAAACTTCTCATACATCATAACCATGTAGTCCGGTCTAAGAAGAAGATGAAATGAATGATGGTGTGATTTTGAGTCTCTATTGATGACATGATGGACTTATGAGAATTCAAAAAGAACGTTTAATGGTTGTGGTTGATTTAAGGCGACGAGGAAAAAATAATGTAACTACTTTTAATAGTTTGATGAAGAAATGAGCAATCACACAAAGGATGTGATTAGATTGTTGAGAGACAACAAATGACACAAAGAAAAAAGAAGTCTTATTAAAAATGAAGAGTAAATTTGTTCTAGACCGGCTAGAATTGTCAATGGTCGCGACTTAGAGGAAATGATAATTCACTCAATTGTTCATAACACAAGGGAACTACCACGGGGAAAAGTATGTGGGATCGAGGGTCAGGATACATCCAACGACTTCATGCATTTCCGGAGAATAACAAATTGTTATAACTGCTTTATTATATAAAGGGCGCACACGCTAATTTCATGTACATAATTTTAAATTCAAATTTCATTCACTCTTCTTCTTCACCGACTGACTTAGTCATTAAAATACTAACCTTGTAGGTCAACCCCTCCTTCACTGCATTCGAGGCTCAAGTCCATTATTGCTCATCACAACCACCATTCTCCGACCAATTATGGTTCTATAACGGAACAGTGACGTTGTTTGTGGGAATTGACTTCTGATTCTTACGTTTTCCAAGATTGCACCTTCTTGCTTCGATTCATCTTTCGAAGCTCTCTCAACCTATCAAATTAGAGTTTTTGAAATCAAACAAAAAATCCTTTGTCTTTGATATGGTCAGGTAGCAAATCAACTTTGATTCTCGGAGTTTATGAATTTTCAATCTCAAAACCTTCCAATGATGGTTGGATCTAAAACTACTCGTTGCACCGCTCTACGCAAAGCAACCGTCATTGGTGCTCTCACTAAAATCGTAAGTGATCAACCCTCGCCTCCTCAAGGAAATGTTGATCAAACTGTTGTAAACACTCCATTGCATCCAAAACTACTCCAACTTTCTCATATTGCAGGATTTGCTTCGTATCTCTGACAAGGTAAGCCTTCGCTCAGACCTTCAGTACCACCACCAACCTCAAGGCCGAACATATTGTCAGGTTTTCAACTATTACGGGCTAACCTTATAATACAATGCGCTAATGAGTTACTGAATATTATGTGTAACATCATTTGGCAACAAAAGTCACAAGCGGTAGAGGAAATATTGTTTTGTCTCGAATAAAGCTTACATAATGCACCTCTGAAGGCGAACACCGTCCAAGAATTCATTTCCAACAAAAGATGAAATATCATTCCCGATTCGGCTGTGTCACGGAAAAATGAAGCTCTAAAATCTCCGAATCACCAAAAAGATGAGTTGGACGACACATTGTTTCTATCACCGGAGGCGCGCCCTATGAGAACATCTCGCCCAAAGGGATGGTGAAGAGAAAAATTGTTGAATTGATGAACATCCATAAGAAGGAAAGGGGCACATTAACTAAGACCTTAGACAGGTCAATGCTTAGGTTTTGGGATTGTGAGAAAGTCAGGGGGACCCTAAATAAAATCTTTCCCCTATTCATAAATGCTACTTTTGGGCATTTTGACATCTCCCGAATCCTAATCAACGACGACAACTCATGTGACATAATGTATTCTTAGTTGTCTGAGAAGATAGGCCCCGAGAGAGGAAATTTATGACTCTATGAAAGGTCATACTTACAGGTGTGTAAGGGTACAACAACTCACCTGTAAGGGTATATCAAATTGATGATATCTATAGGAGAAATAAGGGATGTTCAGATTATGAAATCATAATTCTTTGTAGTCCCTTGCAAGAGTGTTTACAACTAAAATTGTAACTGACCTTTTGCAGCTGATGTCGCATCGCTGCGAAGAAGGGGAGCCGACAATGACAGAAGAGTCGCCACCGTTCGTTATTTATCCCAAAGAGAGGGAAAGGAAACGATCAAAGAAAACCTAACGAAAAGGGAAAAGACAGGTCATCGCAACCAAATCTCGGGTTCGGGAGTCGATTACGCAAGGGGAAGGTATTAGCACCCCTCACGCCTGTCATACTCGACGGGTTCCACGTTTGTTGTCTAAATCTATGGGTGAAAGAAACTATCTACGGCTGCTAAAGCTAAAACGGAAAGAACTGACTCGATAAAGCATCGCCGCTTTATGCCTACGTATTCCCTCGTGCAATGGGAAAGTCAAAGTCAACGTAGTTCGGGAAACTACGGGGGGGATTGCTCACCAAGATATCGTGTCTTGTGCCTACGTATTCTCATATGGTATGAGAAATCAGAGCAAAACGTAGTTCAGGCTAACTACAGGTAAACGGGGTGTTCTCGATCGCACGGGGAGCGAGAGAAAAGGTAGACGATACTGGTGCACACATTCTAGCAGTTAGGTGTATTACTGCTCGACCATTGGAGACTTAGGCATTACCTGTTTGCGGTAGAACGGACGTAGCATGTCATTAGTTAAAAGTTCGGGGAACCTAAAGGGGGGAAAGGAGGAAGAGTGCTTGCTAGGATTATCGCAATCCTATGCCTACGTACTCTCAACAGATATGAGAGATTAGAGCAGCCGTAGTTCGGCCTAACTACAGGAAAAAGAGAAAAATGTTCGCTAAGATTGTCGCAATCCTATGCCTACGTACTCTCAACAGATATGAGAGATCAGAGCAGCCGTAGTTCGGCCAACTACGGAAAAACAGTCTCGATTGAAGGTGAGATAATACTTAGAAGGGGGGTTGAATAAGTATGAAGATTAAAACTTAGAAATAAAAACTCAAGTATTTTTATCCTGGTTCGTTGAACTCAACTACTCCAGTCCACCCTTCCTAGAGTGATTTGCCTTTCTCAATCAAGGACTTAATCCACTATTAAATCAACTGATTACAATAGTTAACACTTAAAACAATTGTTCAAAGTCTTCTCAAGAACTACTGATCCTAACTGGATCTTCTTAAGGATTACAATCAAATGTAAAATCAATACAAGTGTTTAAGATTGCTTCTATAAAGCTTTATCACAACTGTGATTTTTCACTTAACTATTTAAAACAAAGAAATAAATTCTTAGAAAGAATATGAAATAGTATGAGAGCTTGAATGTTAATTTCTTTTCAATAATAACGTCAACTAAAGAAATTGGTGAAGTCTTGCTTTTATAGGCAGCTGATCCAAGGTGAGCTTCACGTTGAGAAGATTGTCCAAAAGGTCTGAGCCTTTTTATCTTCACATCAAGTGACCTTTCCTAGAAGAAGAAAGCACAGAAAAATCCTTTTTGTCTGTGTTCTTGTGTCTAGCATAAATAAGGAAAGAGACGTTTGGTTCACTCCAATGGATATAAACTTTGAATAATTCTTCTTCAGTTTTCAGCAAATTCATCAGAGTCTAATTGGGTCAGAGTCTTCTGATGATGATCAGAGTTTTGCTGAATTAGAGTCTTCTGCAGCAGGTGTGCTTTTAGCGTGTTTAAGATCAGAGCATATTTGATACAGAGCTTCAGTACTGGCAGCTTTAGTACTTCCAGATTCTTCTGTAGAAACTATGCTTTGAAAAACTCTTCATACATAATTCTTCTTTGGTTCAGATGCTTCTGACTTGCTTCAGATTCTTCTGGAGCTTCTGCTTCAGATCCTTCTGGAGCTTCTGCTTCAGATCCTTCTGGAGGCTACGCTCAGGATCTTCTGTTGGCAGCAATCAGAATCTTCTAATGTATGCATCTGACGCTTCAGATCTAGCAAATTTCTTATGTTCAATTCTGATTTGCTTCTGGAGTGTTAATTCCTTTACTATCTGCAGTAAAAAATCTCAAGCAAATTTTAGAGTATATAATTCTTAAATACAAAATTTCATATTAGTTATCATCAAAACATAGAGATATTATTAAGAACCAATCTGTGTTCTAACAATCTCCCCCTTTTTGATGATGACAAAAACATCAGAAATTTTGTTTAATTGAAAATATAATAATTATAACTTCCCCTGAGATGATGAATCTCCCCCTGAATTAAATACAAATAAGGAATAGAAACTTCCCTTTTGTCTTGAGTAATTTTCAGAGTTAGATCTTGATTGTTCTTTTACCATTTGAGAGTCAAAGTGTCTTGCAAATTTCAGAGTCAGAGTTTGATAATTGTCAAATGATCTGAGAGACTCAGAGTTTCTTTTACAGAGAGTACTTATCAAAAAGTTCCGAAATACTCAGATTAAATGTTAGATAGAATAGATATGTCTGAAGTTTCATTCTGGTGAAGTTTAATTAAACAGTTCAGATCTATATTTTCTCCCCCTTTTTTGTCATAAGCAAAAAGTAAAAACTTTAAAAAAGGACAAATAAAAGGAAACAGTAAAGAAGATAAATCATGTGGAGAAAACTTTGAGATTTCATTGAATTCAGTTCAGAACAAGAGTACAT